ATATATATATATATATGTATATATACTGTATATTTCAGCATTAATACTTCAAATTAAAAGAATGTAAAACTGGAAAAAGTAAATAAATCTCACCTGTAGATTTCCTTCATGCTTCTGAAACAGAGGCTGAAAGAAGGTGGCTGGTGATGGAGTGTGGGACAGAGACTTTATCTTCAGTCTGTCACATAAAATAACATTTAATCAGGGAAAACAAAACACGTTTCCACCAAAGTTGTAATCATTTAAAGGACTGATGGTTTACCGTGCAGCAGGAGTGTAGAAGACAACCAGAAAAGCAATAATGAGCACAAACACAGGGCTCAGATATTTCAGCAGAATGATGGAAATGTTTTCTGGTTCTGATGGGTCTGAAATAAATTAGAGAGCTTCAGTGAGTCAGAAACACACAGGAGGAAGGTTATGAATTGGCTGACGTACTTAAATTATCTGCAGTGTTCTGTGAAAGCAACGGGGAAACGTCTGACACTTCTTTCATTAAGACTTCTTGAAGTCTTTATATGACTTCAAGAAGAAAAACATTTAATATAAGATTTAAAAAGTTTATTTTACCTTCATTTGTCCAATTTATTGATTCGCTCCATTCACTCCATGTTGCTTTATATATATTTTTCTCATCAGGCTTAAATTTTGCTTTAATATAATACTCAGTGTTTGGTTTGAGCTGACTTCTTTTCATTGGTAAGCAACTTTTTAATGAATTAAGCTGAAAGATCTGTGGAAGACATCAAGAGTTAATGCTGGGACACAAACACAAACATGAGCTGGCTGTGTTCACAGCAGCAGATCTCACCCTGACGTCACCGCTGCTGGAATCCTGGAGCAAAAGCTCAAAGATGAGGGAATTACTTAAATACATATGTTTCTGATATCGTTCACTTTTGCAGGTGATGTTGACGTACTCTGCTGTTTGTTGGAGCTCAACTTCAGGTGGTGGTGTTAGCTTAACTGTTTATTAAAAATAATCACAAATTGCATCAGTTTATGGCACACAAGCTCTCCAATGTGCAGCAAATTTGTGACCCATCATATCGAAATTAGGATTAAGTCAAATTTGGTCAAAATGACCTAATTATATTTTCAGATTCTTGGCTTTAAAAACTACATTTTGATACCTGGTTCATTCTGATATCAAAAGTAAATCCATATATATGACTTAATTTGTCTTGTTGGTTACAATAATTCATAAATATTTGGACTGAATCCTAATTCAGTTTTATTAATGATTTAATGGTGATTTTAATGAGAATTTTTTGATGTATTGTAAAGAGGGAACATCAAATTTTATTTGATTATTGAAATTTCCTAGCTGGAAAGAAACAAAACTTTGCTAGCTCAGAGGTAAAATCTCAAAATTTTAATGCGTTTTTCCTTAAAATCTGTTTTTTTGTTGCTACTGCTCAAAAAAGTGCTTCAAAATTTCGTTTTAGCATTATATTTCAGACAATTCATTCAAATGGTGCGTTGATAAGGCTTTTATTCATTATATTTTAACAAAATGCTATTTTTATAACATTTTAATCAAAACACTGTATTTGCCTATTTCTCCATATTCCACTTTTAGACTTAATCCTTGTTTCGATGTGATGGCTCACATATTTAGTTTATCAATAATACACAAACATGAAGAAATAAGTGATGCAATCAGAGCCAAATACAATAAATTCAGACTTACTGTTATAAATTGGAAACCAGGTTTCTGCTTGGCAGTTGGTTTCATTACAAAGTCTAATTTTATACACATCCGAAGAATCAAATGGTGTTTCCTTCACTTTACAGTCAGTGTGGTAACTGTCACCCGCTGCCACCAGAGGACATGAGACAGATCTATGTCAAAACCACAAAACATCAGTGGTTTTACCAACATAAGAAGCTTGAACATGAGATCAGTCAAAGAACAATCTAACCCCAGGAGGGTAACAAGACGTTTGGTCAGAGGACATATTTTGACTTGGTGAAGGGGACTGAAGGAGTCGCTGAGCAGAAACATGACCCCAGCATTAATCAAATAAAACATCATATCATCTGCAAACAGTTTGAGTGAAAAACGGTTTCACTTGTTCGGCAGCATCCATCCATTTTCTCTGCTCTCTTTTTCATTCAGGGTCACAGAAAGCTGCTGCCTGTCTCCTGCAGACAGCTGGACAGGTCTCACACAGAGACAAAAGACACAGCTCACACTCTGACTCACATCTACTCTGAGATCTCACTGAGATGGTACTGTTGGGACCTGAGTCAGGGGCTTAAAATTCTGAGAAAAGACGTGAACTTTTCAGCTGCATTCTCACCAAAATCTGGGTATTTGAGATGACACAAAGAAGTAAAAACCCTGCAAAAGTGGTGAGATACTCAGGAGACTCCCTCAAGTCCAGACCCTGAGACAATAGAGAGGTCGGGTAACATTGTGTATGAAATGAAGAGGGGAGCTGCAGAAAACCCATGCATGCAGGAAGACCATGCAAACCCCACACAGACAGCCTGCAGCCGGGCCGTGAACCTGTGACCTTCCTGCTGTAACATTTCCAGCAAATTATAAAAACACTACTTTGGGCAAAAATTTATTTTCTTTTTTTTCCTGATGTTGCATGATCAGAAAATATCAGCAGACTAAGCATTTTCTGTGAACTGACGCTTCTAGAATTATGCTACTCAAGGTGGCAGCATGCTGGAGAGGCCCTGTTTTTAAATTCCTCTTTATCTGGTTAAAATAGCTTTTTTAACAATTAACCCCTCTGCTATTAGATGCTTTGCAGCTGGAAGGATTTTTGCTAATACCTCTTTTGCTTTTGGAGAGGAGAGCAGTAAGAAATTTAAACCATCTCTTCCATTAATCATGAAGGGTAAAACATCTCTTCCATCAATCATCATGGGCAATGTTCATTGGGGAACAAGTTGGACGAACTCCAAGCCCTAACAAGAACCCAGCCAGAGTATCAGGGCTGCAGGAGATTCTTCCTGCCCACAGCCATCAGTATCTATAAACAACTCTTTAAAGAAACCAGGATGATATGAGTCACAACAACTTAATTTTCCTTTGGGATTAGTAAAGTATTATTGAACTGAATTGAACTGTTATAGTTAATAAGGCTACACTTAAACTAACACTTTCTCCTACTTTAAACATAAATCTTTAGGTTCTAATACATTTGTTGAAGAAAAGCACCATAAAACACTATAAAACACTATAAAACAAATTTCAGCTTTCCTAAAAGTCATTTCAATCAACTCTTTATTTCAGTAAATTCATTTAGTTTACTTGGCCATGTGTAGCATTTTGAATGAGGTGAGCGTACCTTTCTGAATTATGTTCAAAAGTCAAGCTGTTGAACCAGACCTCAGGAGCAGCACTCATGTTCAAGACACAACTGATAGTTTGAAAATAGTCGTTCACACATGAAACTAAAGAAACAGAAAAGGAAGGAAGAGATGTCTCCTGTTAGTCAGATATATTTATTAACAAAGACTCAGAAACTGATTCAGGGTAAAATACAACAGTTTACCTTATTGACTGAACTGTATTTGTTAAATACGGTTATTTGGCTAACATCAAACTTCTGTAAAAACTGTTAAATATTTAAAAAGGTTCTGAATGTTACTTTATATCTAACACCAAATTAAAGTTAACTGTAAAGTAACAGTGGCTGAATCAATAAAACTAATTTTTTTTCAAATGTCAAAGGAACAAGAAGATAACAGATGTGTAAAAAAAAATAAAGATAACGTGAGTTATGTGACATTTCATTAGCTAATAATTTCCCATGAACCCCTCTGGTGTGGTCGATGACTGGAGTGATCTCTGCACTCAACTGGTCAATTAATCACATGAAGAAGAAAACCATGACACCATCAAGACCCACATGAGATCTGAGATCTGCCCTGACCCGTCAGATTAAAGCATCATCATCCTCGTGTGTCCGGTGTGTGTGAGCGTTACCTCTGAGGCCACTGGTCACTGCAGAAACACTGAAGCAGCAGAGAACAAAAAGGAGCCACCCACTCGTCATTGCTTATTGGATAATAAGCACCAATCTGTAAGAATCAACAGAAACACTTTTCAGTTCTCTTTACTGTTATTTGTAAAGACTGATATTTTTCTGTGACACAAACGTTAAATTTAGATGAATTACAGAGGAAAACCCTATGGCTGTCATGGATGGTTTGGAAAGTGTTACCTCAGAGCTGCGGTGCTGCTGATGTCTCAGAGCCTGAATGAAACGTCTCGCTGAGGTTTAAACTATCAACTCTTACATCACAGGAAGTGACAGCGCTTTTTTCACTCTTCACACTTGGATGCAGTGAATATTTTTTCTTCTCTTTGAAATATATTTTTCTACTCTGTGGCATTTTTTAACCAACTTCTTTTGTTTTTCTTTTTATAAATATGTCTCTAAATTAAGATATATATATA